AAAACTTGTTTTCTTTCTGAGATACAAGCGGGGTTTCTTGGTCTCCGTTTTTTCCCCGAGGGTATGGCCATTTCTTCGCCCGGACCACTAGACCCCCGCTTAGGGCTAAGAAATGACATTCAGGGCGGGGGAAAAACTTGTTTTCTTTGTGAGACGCAAGCGGGGTTTCTTGGTCTTCGTTTTTCCCCCGAGGGTATGGCCATTTCTTCGCCCGGACCACTAGACCCCCGCAGAGGACTAAGAAATGAGATTCAGGGCGGGCGAAAAACTTGTTTTCTTTGTGGGACGCGAGCGGGGTTTCTTGGTCTCCGTTTTTCCCCCGAGGGTATGGCCATTTTTTCGTCCGGACCAGTAGACCCTCGCTTAGGGCTAAGAAATGAGATTCAGGTCGGGGGCAAAACTTGCTTTCTTTGTGAGGCACAAGCGGGGTGTCTTGGTCTCCGTTTTTCCCCCGAGGGTATGGCCATTTCTTCGTCCGGACCAGTAGACCCTCGCTTAGGGCTAAGAAATGAGATTCAGGGCGGGGGAAAAACTTGCTTTCTTTGTGAGACACAAGCGGGGTTTCTTGGTCTCCGTTTTTCCCCCGACGGTATGGCCATTTCTTCGCCCGGACCACTAGACCCCCGCTTAGGGCTAAGAAATGAGATTCAGGTGGGCGGGCGAAAAACTTGTTTTCTTTGTGAGACGCAAGCGGGGTTTCTTGGTCTCCGTTTTTCCCCTGAGGGTATGGCCATTTCTTCGTCCGGACCACAAATTGTTTTTCCCTATAGTTCTCATGCATTTGTTCGTCGTTTCTTATTCTTTCTCCGCGGTGGATAACGTAGGAAAAGTTAGACTCGATTGTTTTGGTCACCAAGCAGCGACTCTGTTGTATGTTTCCTCTTCTGTGTGGGTATTTTCAACGATGCAGGCAAGCGTGATAGAGGTAGCGGATTGGCTTTCACGAACAAAGAAACATTGCGACGTGTGGAATCAGAAGTGTTTACGTTTAATACTGTTGAAAAGATTTTGGAAACAAGAACAACTTCTTCTAGTTTCGTTTTGTGTAAAAAAGATCTTCCAACTCATGATGAATGAATCGCCTACAAGTTGTACCCATGCCCTGACGAGGCTTCCACATCATCCTGCTCGTCGTGGCGTCGTGTGAAGCTGCCGTGTTGATGTGTGAACACCCTGGTGTCATCTAACCAGGTGTTACCACCTCCCACTTCTCAATGTGCAGGACGCACAACAAAAAACCGGATGATGATGATGATGATCGCGTGAGAATGTTGGCAACTATTCCAGCAAAATCACAACCGAACTTTCCACCTCTACGCGAGGAAGCAAGAGGGGGCCCTCGGCGGAAGAGCAAGAGGAAGTCTAGTGGTAGCGGCGACACAAAGCGGCCCCGTGAAGAGAACTACAAGCGACTTGCCGCGAGTACTACTTCAAGAGCCGCCCGGACTTCACCTCAACAAGAGAGGGCAAGAGTTAAAAGTTACAGAGAACAAGAATTATGCTCCGATCACGATAGGAATTATGTTTCTACTGGAGGCCCTGCCCCTGCAGCTCGAACTGCGGAGAAGAAAACTACTGCTTCTTCGAGTCGAGTTCACGTAGAAACAAAGACTTCAGCTTCCTCTTCTCGGAACAGAAGCGACGACTTCGCTTCACGACACGATACGACGAGTGGTTGTACTAGAGAAGGGCTGTCACGAACGTTTTCTACCAGGACTACAACAACGCAAAGCATCAAAACGACCAAGAGGTGGCAGGATGATCTTCTTGCTCCTCCTGTACAAGACGAACTACGTCGCAGAACGAGGGCCAATGCAGGTACTGGTCGTGGTGTGCTAGAAGGTAGTAGTAAAACCACGACCTCCACAACGGGGCCATCGGCAGCAGGAAAGTTGTTGCCTCGAAGTTGTACTAGTACTGCCACTGATGACCCGAAGAAGAGCAAACCGAAAAGGGATGTTGAGAAGAGACGACAGCAATCTAAAAATACTTCCGTCAGTTCGACGAGCAGTAGTTCTTCCAGTTCCTCTTCTACTTCCAGCTCTTCCTCTGTAGTTGAAAAAACCGCACGACGAAAAAGCAAAACGTGCAGTGAGAACTACAACAAATACAAATTGCCTTCATCTCGACGCTCAGCAGATGGGCGACGACAAGAGGACAAGAACACCACCAGAAGCAAAACATCGAAGAGAAATAAGAAGCGTAAAAGCTATACAACCGACGATGATTGCAGGCGCTGGCCCGACACCTGTCGCAGCTCGCCTGTCGACGATTATTTTCCTCTGCAAAACAACAGTAGTACTAGTAGAGCTCGGAAGTCAAACGTACACCGAAGCAAAACGAGAGAGGCCGCTGCGAAAAAATCCTCCAAGAATTATCGCATCGACGACAGCTGCATCAGTGTAAATAAGCGCGACGAGGACGCACTGCAAAGACAAAAGAGAAGGCAAAAAAGAACGGTGGCTCCACCAAGAATATCTTCTAGGTCCAGCTCCTCAACTACATCCGATTCATCGGACGAGCAGTCTAGTACCCCTCGCCGGAATTATCCCCCGCGGCGCAAGAAGGGGACAAGCTCGTCGCACTCGAAATCGGCACGACGACGAACGGCCTCGGGAGGAACGGCGGCGCAGCAAGAATGTAGGGACGCAGTATTAGGTGTAGACGAGAACAAGAGGATCACGACCACCACCACTACGTCTGGTAGTACTGCGAGAGGGATGAGTAAAACACTACATCACTCGAAGATGAAAAACAGCCGAAAGAAGTACGACCAGTACAATGCCAAGAACTGTGGTCGCACTGCGGATGAAAGAACAGGAAGTACTGCGCCTGCCCAGCTCCAGGATGAGCGACCAGTTGTCGCCAGAGAATCCTTGCCAGAAGAACGACTTCCAAGTCCTTCAGCGGCAAACAGGAATTCCGCACCAGCAGAAGTAGTCCGTCCCCCGAAGATCCTAGTAGGAAAAGGGCCTAGTGCAGCTTCGTCGTCTTCCTTTCCAGAAATTGAAAGCGATAGTTTGAAAAAGTCGAACAGCACGACGGCAAGCGAGGCAGAAAAGAAATCATCGATTGAACAACGAGAAGCACAGCCGCGGAGTACTAGAACTACAGCTACAACCTCTCGAAGTACTTCTAGTCGCGACTGTGTTGCCTCCGATGTGAAACACGCCGGGGGGAGCAGCAGGACGAGATCTTCGGATTTGCACAGCGATTCTGGTGAAGATGATGACTCAAGTACTACGTCAACCTCGGAAGAAGAAGCCGACCCTGAAAATCGAATTCATGATTTGTATTGGGCGGTTTACAGCCAGGGCTGCGTTCGCGACTTGCTGCCGGTCCCCCGACAAACGACAAGGGCAAGAACTACTTGCTGCGCAAGAACCCACCTGCTGGAATACCACAAAGCTTGTAGCTTAGTGGGACTGAGGCGACGGCGGGAGTTTCGCCGGACTTCCGGAGCGTGCAGCGACGGGGACGACGAGGAAAGACCACTACCTCTGAAGCCCATTGCAGACCTGAAAAGAACAAGCGACTGCCGTTTCGCCACTGCCGCGCTGCGGAGTTCCTGCGTCACCGCTGTAAAAACAGACCGCCTTGGTCGTGTGCACCTCTACCGCGAGAACAACGACGCGTTCCTTCTGGCCCGAGTGCGTCAATTTCTGCAACTACACCGGAAAGCCGTCCTGGCAGATCCCTCCGGAGGTGACTACATAGACCACGACCGGCCAGCGAATAAAAAGCGCCCGGAGCTGGAGCTGGGGCGAAAGTGGACGCGCATTCTGCCGTATCAACTGTAAAAATGTCTGGGTCTGGAAGAATTCATGTTTGTCCTGCTTGTCTGGCATGACTCTTAAATCTGTCATGCACGTTACCCAAGAGCTCCGTTTTTCTGTGATGCAGAAGGGCAGGTTGTCATGCAGAATAGGCAACACCTAGGAGCTCAGAAACTTGTCATGCTGAGCCAGCATTTGTAGCCTCATCATGAGACGCGGACGCCAGCCAGCATCACAAGTTTCCAGACCCAGACATTTTTACATATGATATGCCGGACGGGGGCTACATGCCAGACTGCTGGCGGGATTTCGACGCGTTACACAGGTCGCGCGACCGATGTCTGTATCAAAGGGAAAAATGTCTGGGTCTGGAAGAATGCAACTTGTAATGCGTATTTCAGAACACAGAAAAGTCTCTCATGCATGCGCAGCAAAAGCTGCCCACTTTCTGTCAGAAAAGTAGGGAACTTGTCATGCGGATTCGGCATTGCGGAAGCTTCTCGAAACTTGTGATGCTAGAGCTTCCATGCCAGACCTTCTGTGTCATGCAAAAACAGCATGACTCTTCCACCCCCAGACATTTTGACATTTCATAGTCTGCAGCTGGCGCGCCGCCCGTCGCGGCAGCAGCGGGACGCCCGCGAGGACTTTGCCCAGATCATAGAGAAAGTCGAGCTCGGAGAGGAGCTTATCCCGTGTAAAAACGTCCCCACCGCATAGTTGTCATGCAATTCTGCATGCCAAAAAACTCTCTCATGCGGAGACCTATGATACGCATTTTGTAGATCTTGTTTTGGAATTTGTGATGCTATAATCAGCATGCTATGCTAGATCTGTGATGCTTCTAAACTAGCTAAGCGGGACTATACTACGAGCAAAAACTTGTCATGCCAAACAACCAAAACTGGTTGATTTGCCTAGCAGATTTCCGATCTTGATTCTGGAGTGGGAACGTTTTTACACAGAATAGAGCTGTGTGAGCCGGACCGACGGCGCTACCTCCTCTGGTACTTCGGCACGCAGAAACAGTTGCGACTCTGTATAACCTGCTCAGCTGTTACAATCTCAAACGTTACAACAGAATCTGGAATTTGTGTTGCGTGATGAGTATGACAGACTCGGACAGCATTCCACTTTCTGCAATACAAATTTCGCCAGATTGTTGTGCGGATTGCGACTCCAGAACTTGTCATGCGCAGTCCTATGCGAGTTGGCTGGATCATGCAATCTTGCATCACAGATTTCGATATTCCGTTGTAACGTTTGAGATTGTAACACCTGAGCGGGTTATACCCTCCGGCCGCTCGAAGGAGGCGGAGAAAGCCGCGCTGGAACTGCTGCCCCCCATTCCCGCTGGAGGAGGCGCGATTTCGTTAGAGGAGTGGATATGCTGTGCAAAATGAATATGGGATTGCCAGGATTGAAATCGACAAAGTTGAAATAACTTGTAATGCATAAAATCGATACCAGTTGGAAGCCCAATTTTCAAGCGGCGCATGACAAATTTCGGCGCCAGCTAGATCCAGTTTGTCATGCTGTTTAGGGACAGAAGGCGTCTTTTGTCATGCTACATTAGCAGCTCTGCCGTAGACCCCAAGCAGGCTGACAGTCGGCCTCACTTGCCGCCCCTGCAAGAGAGGCACTCCATGCCTTGCAGTTTATGCATGAGAAATTATTTCAACTTTGACGATTTCAATCCTGACGCATCCATAATGAAATATCGATCGGGGAGTCTGGATCATGTGTAATTATGCGGGACGACTCGTGCGAGAGAGCACCAAGACCTGTATTGTACAAGATGGGGGTCGGCCGTTTGGCCGACCCTATCTTGATGGACAGCGGGCAGCTAGAAAAAACAGCCCCAAGAAGAGGGCGACTGGACTTCGAAGCATAAACCCCAGCGGCCATATGCCCCCGAGGCCCCGCCAGGGCTTGTCCCCGAGGACAGCGCGAGCGGCTTTGCGAGCGCAGGCAAGCCCCCAAGGGCTTTGCTCCGCCTCCCCAAGGCCTATGCCAGACTGCCTCCCTCGCGCAATGCTTACGATTTCTTTGCATCGGCTAGCAGGCTCGGCCCACCAGGATATGGCGGTCGTAGGCCCTGCAAAGGCTCTGCGCCGCCTCGGCCACAATGTGCGTGGCAGCCGCCTCATTGGCCAGGCAGGAAGGATCTGGCCGCGGCTAGCAGGCTTCCATCCTTCGCCGAAATAAATGCATCTAGCTGCGCCGCACAACCCCGGCCGCGATCAGTGAGCTGGGTGGCAGGCATCAGCTAGCCCGATCGTAGGCTGCCCATAAATGAACTACCGGGAACCAGCTGCCCTGCTTGGTCTCCCTTGCCAAGGCCCGGCGCCGGCCTTGCTTGGAGCGCTCAATCTGGCACCGCCCCGGCACGAATGAATCTGGCGCGCGCGCGCGCCCTTCCGCTAGGACGCCTGTTGGACGGGCCGGGCATACCACAACAAACGGGCCTTGGCGCCGAAAGCCCGCCCGGGCCCGGGCGGCCGGCCCCTCGCTCAAGGGAAGCAGGCGCGCACGCAAACAACGAACTGCAGCCGCGGCCCCGAGCGAGGGCCAGGCCGGTGGGCCCGCGCAGGCAGTCAACAAACGCAAAGAGAAGCGCGCCACATGTTGCGGCAGGGTGGGCCGAGGCGTCCTGGGCAGAGAACCGAGGCGGGCCCGCCCCTATTACACCGCAAGCCGTCGTGCCCCGGCCCCCGGCCGGCATCTTGTTTGGGTGCAGTCTGCCAGCCAGGCGAAACAGAGGCGGCCTCGCCGATGGGTGCCAGAAACTTAAGCGGCCCATAGGAACTCGCACAGCGAAAATCTGCGTCACTTGCGCTCAACTCGGGCCGCGGCCACCTATATTCGTTCCAGCGCCCAGAGTCTGGATCATTTGTGATGCGGGACGACCCGTGCGAGAGAGCACCAAGACCTGTATTGTATGCACGAGGGGATTTGTAATTAAGTAGGTTTTTTCATTTCGTATTGGAAAGCATCTAGTTTTTTTTTTTGAGACTTAAAATACTTTTATAGCGGTTTTTCACAAAATGGCGTTACAATGATCAATAATACAGTATTTTTTAAACGGTAAAAAAGCCGTACTGTGATGCGATTTTTTATTACCAATGAATATACAAAAACAAAACGAAATAAATAGTGCATCAAAAACTTGTCATGTCCGTGTCCGTCGTACAACGGTTACTTCCGTCTGAGAGACCGATTTCTCATCATGCCAGACGGAGCAATACAAATTTGAATTTCTAGACCCAGATCGACATACAGATTTGCAATTTACACTTTGCTGCATCTGTTTGGCAGGAGGAAGCGGAAAGGAAGCAGAAGGAGCTCGAACGAGAAACAGACTTTGACTGGCTCGATGAACGAAACAGGGAGGCGGAGGTGGAAAAATTTGAGGAATTCAAGACGTGGCTGGAGGGCCTGGACCACCAGCGCGCCGTGCAGCTTGCGGAAGAGGAAAGGATGAGGGAGGAGGCGGAGAGACAACGCATGGCGGAGGTATGGGATTCTCAAACGTTACATCCTCAGCTGTTGATGAATTTGCCATGCAGAATGGCCATCAGTTACTGACAGTATCTACATGATCAGGCTGCTTCGCATGACAAGTTGTCAACGCGCTGCATAGCATTAGAATCTGCGCCAAACCTGTAATGCAAAAGGCGAAACCTTACCCCTTTCACTTTTGCCATTCTTGGATTACAAATTTATGTAACAGTTCTTGAGAGTGTAACGCTTGAGAACGCCATAAGAGGAGGATCAACTGTCGCGTGCGTACCGAACGTGGTTAAAAAGCCCTTCGGGACAGGGCCTGTCCGTCACGGCAGCCCCGTTCGCGCCCGATGTACACGAGGAGGTTTTCATCCGGCTGGGCGGGATGCAGGCCGCGGCGTCTGGCGTGATGACGCGGAACCCGGTCACGGGTAACAACCTGTTTGTCACCGATCCTGCGGTTGCACTACTACGTGATGACCCTTCGGAGATGAAGCAGGGTGCTGTGGCGGAAGTCGCTGCCAGGGTTGGCTGGGGGTCTTGCTCGACAACATCTACTTCACAAGACGACGAGTCCTACTGCGCAAATACGACCTTTTCACAACTCAGCAAGGACAGTCAGCGCCAGCTCATCCGCCAACGGGCGACTGCTCCCAGGACCTGGAAAAGACGGGGGCCACTGATCTCGTGTAGCGAGCTGCAAACGATCCGTGAGAATGAACCGGAGAGCCATGGCGTCCCCGGTGTCGTGCAGCCGAAACGGAATGTTAAGACCAACGCGAAAACGGAAAAGCGTAGTGTGTCCTCGTCCCTCTCTTCTTCGCGTATTTCTGCTTCGCCTTCCTCCAGCAGCGCAGCGTCGACCCTGACTAATACGGAGACGGACACGCATATGAGAGTGCACGACCCGCCCTCCCCCTCATTTGTCATGCAAAACCCCAAATCCCCGTGCTTTCCTGTGGCACTGTTGGCATCAGAGAGTCCGGAATCCCAAACAGTACTACACTAGGCGCATGAACTTGTCATGCACATGCTCCACGTGTGGCGGTGTTTGTATTGCTGTTCATGCAACACAAATGAGGGGGAGGGGGGGTTGTGCACTCTCATAGCGCAGAGGCTTTGTCCACCGCGGCCAGCCTTGGAAGATGCGGAGGACGCGCGCAGGGACGTCCAGCGCCGGCGCAACCTTGTCCGGAATCCTGTGTGGAAAAAGTTGCGGCGGCTTGTGCACCCGCAGCTGCTACAGGCCGTGCGGAGGCGGCGCGGTGCGGATTGTAACGACGAATCAGTCACGGAAGCGACGGGAGCCGTATCCTGAGGAAAAACGTCCCCGCCCGTTAGTGAAGATGCAAACTCTGCTGGTGCACAAATCAACAGGCTTTGCTTTTGGGCATGACGTCAAATTGTGGCTCGCAGTGTAGTAGTCTTGAGCTAGTGCAGCCGCATTACAGATCGAACATATCATGCTGATCCGAGCATCACAAGTCGAAATCCCAAAACACAACTAGAAAATGCTTCTCATGGGTCTCCGCGATGGAAACATTTTATAGCATGCAGATTTGCATTACAACTCTCGGGTGGGGACGACGTTTTTATACAGGATAAACCGCCTCGGATATTCTCTCCGATCTCCCACCGGAGCCGAGCTCAGTGCTGGTTGAGGAGAGTTTGTTTTTGGAAGACCAGGAGGAGTTATCGAGAACAGTGCTACTGCTGGAAGACGAGGAGATGTGTGGTTCTAGCGAGGGCGCGACCAAGGCCTATCATCTAAACCACCACCACCGCGAGAAGCCCCGGACTAGCTCAAGAAGTTCCGGGCGCACTCCAACTTCTTCCACCGGCGCGACCGCCACGACCGGAATCCCGACGGCGTCGAACAATACAAATACGCGGAGCTGCAGCTTCTCTAATCCGGACACCCGATCCAGATCCTCCAACCCCCGTAGTCGATCTTCGAATAGCAGCAACAACCCAGTGCAGCCGCAACACGAAGATCGAACACAAGATGCACCGCCGAACCCTTCGCGGTCAACACAGCACGACCGAGGTCAACAGGTCGAGCGTGTTGCTTCAGATCGCGCGAGCACAATTCGGACAGTGAACTCCGAGAGCAATTTTGCGACTGGCGCGGGGATATCAAATGCAAAGATGTCTGGGTCTGGAAGACTGCGAGATCTGTCATGCTTGCCTGGCAGGAATCTGGACTTTGTGTTGCGTGGCCACGAACAGTGCCCTCTGCCTGTCATACATGCGGAATGCGCAACACAACGCGACGAAAAAACCTGTCATGCTTGGCGGTGCATTACAGAGTGCTTAGTATTCACTGACTTGCATTAATACAAGTTTCCAGACCACCCAGGCATATTTGCAAGGCATAGGGGACCAGTTCCGAGCGGGAGAGCTTGACGGGGACAAGTAGAAGTGCGACTTTTGCTAGCACTTCTCCGGCAGCACGTAGTCAAGCGGCAGGTGGGCGATCTACTTACACTGCTAGTCCAGTGCGACTATAAGGTCGTGGCTAAGGAGTTTGACATACGGTAGGCGGGAAGCAAGTGTATCGGGACGAGAAGTTGCATGGATGGTTACTGTGTTGTTTGTTCTCAGACTCGAGTGATAAACTAGCAAGAAATGGGAGGTGTGCAGCTTCAAATTCAATCAACATTCTGTCAACCTGTCTATCACCTTCGATGGTACTTTTCATATCCGGCCGTCTTCCAGACACAATCTGTACTCTGGTTCTTCATGCTACATCAACGATCAAAGTGAAAGTTCTGTCTCTGTGGCAAGACAAAGACGGAGCCGAAACAAATTTATACACGCAGAGTCTTGCTGTCTTCACATTCACTACACCAAAGAGAAAGAATGTTCTACGGGAACGACGACACGCCGAGGTGCGGCAGGTGTGAAGATGTTCCGACATCATAAGTCTTTTCACGTTTTGCCAGTGTGGTCTTCATGAGTATGTTGATGCGTTTCCAGTTCAATTGGAAGTGCAGTTGCTGTTGCCAACTTCTCTCCGAGCGGGCGCTTTTTTTTGTCAGGTGAGAGAAGAACATTCGCAAATCTGGAAAATTTTTGCATACTTTGCAAGAGGAGCAGGCTTCTTGTAGGAAGAGGTGGATATTATTAGACGGCCTATCGCTCCTGGTGCTTTCTTTCTACCAATACCAACTTCTTCCGTCCTTGAAGTGTTTGAGAGTGTGGTATCGTAAAACGTCTTTTCGTGTGTTTCCGTTTGCGTAAATACTATCCCGCATCCGAGCTGCGTGGAAGCGTCCCTAGTTGCACAACACAGCTACCTACTAAATGTGTTGAAAACTGCACAATATGTCCACTGATACTAGTACAGATCCGGCCCCGGAAGTTGCGAACCCAGAGGACTCCGCCGCATCCGCTTCTGCCGCCCCGCCACAGCTGGTACAAGAACTAGCGTCCGCAGGGACCACCACTCCTGCCGCACCAGCAGCAGCTTCTGCAACAACTCCCGCGCTGGAGGAAGCAAAGTCCAAGATGAAAAAAATCGTGATCATCTACAACCCGTACGGCGGGAAGAAGAAGGGAAAAAAGCTCCACGATGAGACGAATATGGATTGCAAAAATGTCTGGGTCTGGAAGAATGCAGGAGTTTGTCATGCAGATTTTGCATGACCTATGAGGTCTGTGATGCATGCCCTAGCATCAGAGATCTTGCGAGGGCTTTCTGATGCTCATACCGCATGAGAAATGCCCTCTCCGCGTAGCACAAAATACACCTCTTTTGCTGTTCATGCAATACAGATTTGATGTAGAGTCCAGAGGTAGCATCACAAGTTGCATCCTTCCAGACCCAGACACTTTTACATTTGATAACGAAGAAGAAACTCCTAGAGAAACTCGACACCGAGAAGTACGAGATCCTCTCCTACGAAACCCAGCGAGCCAACCACGGGTTCGAAATGTGCGCGAGTGAAATTCCGGACGAGATTTTGCAGAGCGAGGACCTGGCGGTGTTGGTGGTGATTGGCGGGGACGGATCGTTGAACGAGTGTTTGTATCAACTGCAAGTATGTCTTGGTCTAGAACATTGCTAGACTTGTCATGCAGGTTGTCCATGACCGCCCATATGATCTGCAATGGAGGACCTAGCATGACAGATTCCGCGAGATCACTATCATGCCTAACTCCCTGCGTGAGAAACTGCTTCTCAACTGGATCAAAAGTGGGCAGCATTTGGTAGGCATGCAACACAAATTTTTGCATGATGCAGATTTAATAGCATGACAGGTTGCAGAGGGCCAGACCCAGACATCTTTGCAACGCATAGCTTGAACGGGCTGGCGACGCGGGAAAAGGTGAGACTGAACCTCGACTCGGTTGCAAACGTGGAATCTATCAAACAGAAAATCTGCTTGATCCCAGGGGGGACGGGAAACGCGCTGGCCACGGATTTGGGAATCGTCGGGTACAGTACGGATAAGCTGACGAAGAAGCGCACCTACCTATGCAGTGCAAAAGTATCGCTATCGTACTCGTATAAATGCGTTACAAATTTCCTCCGCATGAGAAATAATGCAGACTTAGCTCCAGAAAAACATGACTGCGATATATTTGCACAGGATACTACCGATACGCAGGCAATGCAATCAACGCCTTTTTGGAGTCTTCTGCATCACAAACTCTAGACGCAGGAGAGCCGAAGTGGATCGACTTAGGGGCGATCACGTACCAGACTGGTCCATCCGTAGCTGATATGCATTGCAAATATGTCGTGAGGAAGAGTGTAGCTAACTTGTCATGCTGCTTCTGCATCCTGCTCCTGCAAAAATCTGTGTTGCATGATTACCTAATAAGGTTGTCCACTACGACTACATCAATTGAGTAAATTGAGACGGCGTTTCTCATGCAGGACAGGCGTGAACATGATAGAGATCTCACAGTAGAGTCTGTGATGCTAGGTCCTGCAACATCATGGGTAACGGCGAATCTGCATGACAAGTCTTGCAATCTTCCTGACCCAGAGATGTTTGCATTTGGTAGCTGACGCGACGAGCAGTCAAGAGCCTTCTACTAACGTGAAGCTGATGCACAACATGCTCGGTCTTGGGTTAGGCGTCGATGCGAACATCAAAGCAGAGCGGTGGCGGTGCTGCGGCCCGTTGCGATACGACTGGAGCATTTTGCTCGAAATCTGCCGCTATCAAATGCAAAAGTGTCTGGGTCTGGAAGGTTGGAGCTTGTGATGCTAACTTTGGACTCTAAAAAAATCTGTATCGCATGACCAGCAAGAGGAGTCTAGTTTGTGCTACGCGGGGAGGGCATTTGCGGAATAGGCATCAGGAAACCCTCTAAAAATCTGTGATGCTAGTTCATGCATTACAGACATCCTGGGTCATGCAAAATATGCATGACAAACCCAGCAACATTCCAGACCCAGACATTTTTGCATTTGATAGCCGCATCGACACGAGCAAGGGGCCGACGCAAGTGATCAAGTACTATGCAAGAAAAAAAACTGTGTAAGTGTAAGTCTGTAATGCAGAACATGCAACAGAGCTGCTACACCTGTCATGCCAGACAACCATGACGTCCTCTTTTCATGTGTGTTTTCCCTTACAAGCCACGCATGACAGGTTTTCGCTGTCATGTAGAGCAAATTTGTGATGCTGTCCGCCAAGGAAAGTTACACTAACACAGTTTTTTTCTTGGATAAGTACCAGGACAAGAGTAAAAATCCGAGTGCTGTATCAGAAGCAAAAACGTCCCCACCCCAGAGTTAAGTAGATGTCAGTTTTGCGTACACAAACTGAGAAGTGTTGTCGGTTGCGCATGACAAGTTTGGGTTTCTATTCTTGTCGCGGCTGGAGCTAGTGCAGCCGCGTCACAAATCCAGCGCCTTCTTCTTGTTAGAGCATGAGAAAGTGGTCTCTGGCGCCCGAGACCATCAGAAAATGCTCCTCCTGGTGGGGCTACGCCTACGCATGAGACACAATTAGCTGGCCATCTTGCATGGCATGCAAATATGGTGCATGACAAGTCGTGTGAGAAGTTGGAGACGTTTTTGCTCAGTATATGCTGGGGAAAAGAAATCCGGAGAAATCAAATTTGAGAAGGGAATCACCTTGGCGCTGGTGCAGAACACGAAAGTGGTGGGAGACAAGTACTTATGGAAATACTTAGATAAAGACATTCGATTCATCGTGATGCAAGTACGCATGACAAAAAACTGTGAAGAAACAAATACGAAATTATCAGGTTAAACACTGCCCCGTATGCCGAAGTAGACGATGGGTTGCTGGATGCGGTTACGTACCCTTCGCAAAAGTATCTGATACCCGTAGTAATTGCAAACATGCATGACGAATCTGCTTCCCAGGATGAATCAGCATGACAAACTCCATATTTGATGCTGAGAGAATTTATTGTAATGCGATATTTACAACCGTAAACCTAAACTAACAAGCTACTGCGAGGTACTTTTGCAGTGCATATTACAGGGCCAAAACTCGGCTGCTGTGCCACACTGGGGCTGTTTAACAAGGTGAAAAAGAACGGGCAACACGTATCATATGTAAAAACGCCCCAGCCCCCCCGCCCTAGTCAATGATTAGGAACTTAGCAAGACAAGTCCAGAAGTTTTAGGAGCCACGCATGACAAGTTGCAGTCCGTAGTGTAGTCGCCGTGTTAGCAAGGGCAATCGCATCACAAATCCATCTGCTTATCCTGTTTCCAGCATTACAAATCCCAAAACGCGATTGGAAATGCCTCTCATGGAGTTGCGCATTACAAATTTTCCTGTAATCGCAATTCTGCATGACAACTAAACTAATGGGATGGGGGCGTGTTTATCCAGGATAGCACGTAAACGACAAGCGCGTGGGGTACGAAAAAGTCACGGACTGGTCTTTCGAGTCCAGCGAGCCATATCGAAAGGAAAAATCCCCCCTCCCCATATCAAAGTGACAATCTGTGTTGCGGGATTTGTGTACACAAATCACCTTTGTCTTGCAGTATAGGACTGCAGGCAGATACAGAGCCTGGAAGGGGCTTGCTAGAGGTGGCCGCTCAGCATGGCAGGCGTCTGCCCTGTTGGCGCAGCAGCATCACAAATCGCCTGCGTAAAATGGCGGAAGCTCTGGCTTTGCTCTCTTGCAAGACAGGTCTGATTTGTGGCCACAAATTAGCATCGCAAATTTTCAAAAGGATGCCTTTTCAATATGGGGAGGGGGGATTTTTCCTCACGATAAGCCAGCTCGGTTAAACATTGACGGTGAAAATATCGGCTACACGCCCTGTAAGATTGTAGTGAAACCAAAATTTTTTCAGATCTACACGTTTTGAGGTTGAAGAGGAGGAAAGTTTCATTTTCATAATAATTTATGATTATGCCTGTTGTTTCGGTACCAAAAAACGCATATTTATGATATGATTTTTTACCGTTTGACGCGATCGAGCCAGGACGTTCCTCACCGTCAGTAGAGAAAAGATGTAATGCTGACAATTGCTAGTGGTGGTAGTGGTAAGAGCCACTGATCCTGGATAGTTAGTACCAAATGCAAGGTTGAAAACCCTCAAGATGATGTCTATGTTGTACAACGCACAGGCACGACAGCTTTTTTTGAAACTGGAGTAGCACGTCTTTCTTCGCCCCCCAGATAAGTAGCAGCAACGAGCCAGTGCTCGTTTGCATCTTGGATTGTCTCATTTTCGGAACTACGCGTTTGTTCCTTTTGTTCGAAGAAAGCTAGAGTCTCATCTTGCGAGAGGATAGCATACAACACGAACTGTGCCTGCTATTTGAATGAAGGTTGGGGCCGGGCGGCGCTAGAGCAAAACTGCCACATTACAAAAGCAGTTTTTTTCGGTGTCTGGATAGCAGTTTTTGCCTTTCGTGTGTGGCGGGATTCCCTGACGAGAAAAGCAAAACACGAGCTGACGCCATTAGGACAACAAAGTTCGGAGCAGCTTTCCCGCATAGCAAAGCTGCAACACCACAAAAGCGCCTTTTTTCGGTCTCCAGATAGCAGCAGCGAGGGTATGCTCGTTTGCCCAGGGTGCCGCTTGTGCCTCTCCGGAGCCGAAATTTTGCTTCTTTCCAGCACTTGGATTTCTTGTGACATCACAAAAACAGGAGCTGTTGCTGCTCTTTGGATAGGGTTTGGGGTTGTTTGCGCCGGAGCAAAGGTGCAACATCACAAAAGCGCCTTTTTTTGGTCTCCAGATAGCAGCAGCGAGGGTATGCTCGTTTGCCCAGGGTGCCGCTTGTGCCTCTCCGGAGCCCAAATTTTGCTTCTTCCCGGCGGTGGGATTTCTTGTGACAAAACAAAAACAGGAGCTGTTGCTGCTCTTTGGATAGGGTTTGGGGTTGTTTGCGCTGGAGCAAAACTGCTACGGCACCAAAGCAGGCTTTTTTGGTCTCCAGATAGCAGCAGCGAGGGTATGCTCGTTTGCCCAGGGTGCCGCTTGTGCCTCTCCGGAGCCCAAATTTTGCTTCTTCCCGGCGGTGGGATTTCTTGTGACAAAACAAAAACAGGAGCTGTTGCTGCTCTTTGGATAGGGTTTGGGGTTGTTTGCGCTGGAGCAAAACTGCTACGGCACCAAAGCAGGCTTTTTTGGTCTCCAGATAGCAGCAGCGAGGGTATGCTCGTTTGCCCAGGGTGCGGCGTGTGCCTCCCCGGAGCCCATATTTTGCTTCTCGTCTGCCCTGGGATTTTTTGTGAAAAAACAAAAACAGGAGCTGCTGCTGCTCTTTGGATAGGGTTTGGGGTTGTTTGCGCTGGAGCAAAGCTGCAACATCACGAGAGCGCCTTTTTTCGGTCTGCAGATAGCAGCAGCGAGGGTATGCTCGTTTGCCCAGGTTGCCGCTTGTGCCCCTCCGCAGCCCATATTTTGCTTCTTCCCGGCGCTGGGATTCATTGTGACAAAACAAAAACAGGAGCTGTTGCTGCTCTTTGGATAGGGTTTGGGGTTGTTTGCGCTGGAGCAAAACTGCTACGGCACCAAAGCAGGTTTTTTTGGTCTCCAGATAGCAGCAGCGAGGCTATGCTCGTTTGCCCAGGGTGCCGCTTGTGCCCCTCCGCAGCCCATATTTTTCTTCTTGCCAGCACTTGGATTTTTTGTGACAAAACAGAAACAGGAGCTGTTGGTGCTCTTTGGATCGACAGGTGTTTGGGGTTGTGTGCGCTGGAGCAAAACTGCGACGGCACCAAAGCAGAATTTTTTGGTCTCCAGATAGCAGCGGCGAGGGTATGCTCGTTTGCCCAGGGTGCCGCTTGTGCCCCTCCGGAGCCGAAATTTTGCTTCTTGCCAGCACTTGGATTTTTTGTGACAAAACAAAAACAGGAGCTGTTGCTGCTCTTTGGATAGGGTTTGGGGTTGTTTGCGTTGGAGCAAAGTTGCAACATCACAAAAGCAAACTTTTTTGGTCTCCAGATAGCAGCAGCGAGGGTATGCTCGTTTGCCCAGGGTGCCGCTTGTGCACCTCCGCAGCCCATATTTTGCTTCTCGTCGGCCCTTGGATTTTTTGCGAAAAAACAAAAACAGGAGCTGTTGCTGCTCTTTGGATAGGGTTTGGGGTTGTTTGCGCTGGAGCAAAACTGCTACGCCATCAAAGCAGGTTTTTTTGGTCTCCAGATAGCAGCAGCGAGGGTATGCTCGTTTGCCCAGGGTGCCGCTTGCGCCTCTCCGGAGCCCATATTTTGCTTCTTGCCAGCACTTGGATTTTTTGCGACAATACAAAAACAGGAGCTGTTGCTGCTCTTTGGATAGGGTTTGGGGTTATTTGCGCTGGAGCAAAACTGCTACGGCACCAAAGCAGGCTTGTTTTGGTCTGCAGATAGCAGCAGCGAGGGTATGCTCGTTTGCCCAGGGTGCCGCGTGTGCCTCTCCGGAGCCCAAATTTTGCTTCTTGCCAGCACTTGGATTTTTTGTGACAAAACAAAAACAGGAGCTGTTGCTGCTCTTTGGATAGGGTTTGGGGTTGTTTGCGCTGGAGCAAAACTGCTACGCCATCAAAGCAGGTTTTTATGGTCTCCAGATAGCAGCAGCGAGGGTATGCTCGTTTGCCCAGGGTGCCGCGTGTGCCTCTCCGGAGCCCAAATTTTGCTTCTTGCCAGCACTTGAATTTTTTGCGACAAAACAAAAACAGGAGCTGTTGCTACTCTTTGGATAGGGTTTATTGGGGTTGTTTGCGCTGGAGCAAAGTTGCTACGTCACAAAAGCAAGCTTTTTTGGTCTGCAGATAGCAGCAGCGAGGGTATGCTCGTTTGCCCAGGATGCCGCTGGTGCCTCTCCGGACCCCAAATTTTGCTTCTTGCCAGCACTTGGATTTTTTCTGACAAAACAAAGACAGGAGATGTGGCTGCTCTTTGGATAGGGTTTGCTGTTGTTTGCGGTGGAGCAAAGCTGCTACGTCACAAAAGCAAGCTTTTTTGGTCTGCAGATAGCAGCAGCGAGGGTATGCTCGTTTGCCCAGGATGCCGCTGGTGCCTCTTCGGAGCCCATATTTTGCTTCTCGTCGGCCCTGGGATTTTTTGTGAAAAAACAAAAACAGGAGCTGTTGCTGCTCTTTGGATAGGGTTTGGGGTTGTTTGCGCTGGAGCAAAGTTGCTACGTCACAAAAGCAAGCTTTTTTGGTCTGCAGATAGCAGCAGCGAGGGTATGCTCGTTTGCCCAGGATGCCGCTGGTGCCTCTCCGGAGCCCATATTTTGCTTCTCGTCGGCCCTGGGATTTTTTGTGAAAAAACAAAAACAGGAGCTGTTGCTGCTCTTTGGATAGGGTTTGGGGTTGTTTGCGCTGGAGCAAAGTTGCTACGTCACAAAAGCAAGCTTTTTTGGTCTGCAGATAGCAGCAGCGAGGGTATGCTCGTTTGCCCAGCATGCCGCTGGTGCCTCTCCGGACCCCAAATTTTGCTTCTAGCCAGCACTTGGATTTTTTGCGACAATACAAAAACAGGAGCTGTTGCTGCTCTTTGGATAGGGTTTGGGGTTGTTTGCGCTGGAGCAAAACTGCTACGGCACCAAAGCAGTTTTTTTCGGTCTGCATATAGCAGCGACGGGGGTATGCTCGTTTGCCCAGGGCGCCGCTTGTGCCTCTCCGCAGCCCATATTTGGCTTCTCGTCGGCCCTTGGATTTTTTGTGACAAAACAAAAACCGGAGCTGTTGCTGCTCTTTGGATAGGGTTTGGGGTTGTTTGCGCTGGAGCAAAGTTGCTACGTCACAAAAGCAAGCTTTTTTGGTCTGCAGATAGCAGCGACGGGGGTATGCTCGTTTGCCCAGGATGCCGCGTGCGCCCCTCCGGAGCCCAAATTTTGCTTCTTGGGTCCGGAGCAAAGTTGCTATCCAACGAAAGCACCTTTTTTTGCTTGGCGGATTTTTTGCGCGATGGTGTGGTCGAGGTCTTGGGTTTTGCATCCCGGGTTCCCCGGGCCTTTTTTTTGCTCCTCGCGGATGGCGAGTTGCTATACCGGGAGAAGCAAAACAGGAGCTGTTGCCACCATTTCTACCACCGGCGAAGGGTCTGGGGTCCGGAGCAAAGTTGCTATCCAACGAAAGCAGCTTTTTTTGCTTAGCGGATTTTTTCCGCGATGGTGTGGTCGAGGTCTTGGGTTTTGCATTCCGGGTCTCCGGGGCCTTTTTTTTGCTTCTCGCGGATGGCGAGTTGCTATACCGGGAGAAACAAAACCGGACTTGTTTTCACTAGTAGTTCAGCCAAGGGATCGAACAGGGACAGTCTAAGGCTTAAAGTCTAAGGCTTAGAGTCGCAGTAGTTGTCTTCGCGGAGGCCTAATCAGCCCGACCCGAGGTTGATGTTCTAATGAAGATGGAGGCCTCAAAATGTTGTTGAAAATAAGAGTAGTTTCGCGTCAGGGAAAAAGTAGCTCCATGAAATTTCTGTAAAAGTCTGACGGTCCAATTCCAAATCCAATTCCAAATTATGAAATTCACATGAAGACGAAGATCCAGCAAAAGCATCTTGAGCAGTTGTTCGGTCCATCAAGTGAATAAATTTGAATTACAAGGAAGTGCAGCACAGAAATCTTATCGGTTTCCTTCGAACGACAAAATCTTCATGATTTTCTCCGAAAAATACAGACAGATCCATCTCCAAGGTGTCCCTGTGAGAAACGATAAGGTAGTCGAAATACGAAATCATGATGAACAAGGCCATAATTTGCAGCACTCTGTCTGGGAGGACCAGAGATGACCAAAAACAAAATCACCCTCAATAACATCAACAACTACAGTTTTGGTTGTTTTGACGCTCTAGCCAAAGTAAAAAGAAACTACCCCTACCCTACCCGCGAAACAATTGAAACCTTTCATCGCTCGTAGTACATCATTATAGTTGACGCACGACCAGCTCTACCAAACTGAATTGCCAAGATACTTCCGCATATATAAATGTTTGTAGCTGGTTCCAGGTCTATATTTTGATTTTATTGTTTTGCTTTTGTTATAATTTTCTACCCAGCGGTGGTGGTACCCCTTCCAAGATTTCCCGCCGCCCTTGCGTACAACTTCTAGGTGCACAGTGAGACCAATCCCCCGTGACATCTTCTATCGAATTGTTTACCCCAAATTGTCAAAGTATTTACTACTTCTAGATAAGACGGGTTTTACTTGTACCGGCGGACGAAAACCGGTAATTCCGCAATTTTGAAATCTTCAATAAAGTACTTGAGTTAATAATTATCGAGAAATCAAAAAAGTAGTTGGCACCATGAGAAGGGCCTCGTTAGGCATCGCGTTCTCGTTGCTTGTTGCGCTCGTCGAGGGAGGGGGCACGCCGCGCAAGAGAAGGTTTGACCTAGATGAAGGAGGAGCAACGCCACGATTGAGTAAGAAGCAGCCCGTATCTACAACTTCCGGCGACTTCTTTTTATCTACTAGAAGTCCCGGATCCACACGACCGAACCAGGGCAAAAAAGGGGGAGAGCAACAAGCGCTTGCTTCCTTGAAAAATAACCGAGTGCGTGGTCAGTCGGCAGGCCCGAAATACAGATTGCGGGGGAAGCAGAAGCTGCTTCCTGTAGAAAACAAAAATAAGCGAGTGCTCCAGTCGGCAGGCCCGAAAAAATACAGATTGCGGGGGAAGCAGACGCTTCTTCCTCCGTTTCGTCGACTTGGAGCTTTCGTGGATGAAGCGGCTCCTGTCGCGGCGGGTGAAAAGGAACATCAAGGAGCAGTGGTGGAACAAGTGGTGAAAGAGATCGCGCCAGCTGCATCGCCAGCAGGACCACGACGCGAGTTATCACAAGGACTATCAGCCTATGAATCATCGTTGAATTTGCGTGCCAATCTTGCCGGCGCAGAAGCTCGTACCAAACTGGCGAGGAAGGCGGTTCTGGCGGCGGAGGAAATTGTGAAAGACAGCGCCGACCGCGTTTGGGCCGAGCGCGTGTTCTCCACGTCCTCGTCGTCTGACATAACCGACCAGGAGCTGCTGCAGCAAGCACTTCTAGACGGCGTCGAGGCCGAGTGGTCTCGGGTGGAGAGCCTGCAGCGTGTGCTCAGCGACATTGAAACACACCGCAATTATGTGAAGCAGAAACTGCAGGAAGCTCGGGCACACTTGGTCGCAGAGGACACGGACGACGAACACGATGAGGACCATAACACGACCTCCTTCAAGGGGCTGGTTCTAGTAGAGCGAAAGCCAGTGAAGAAGTGGCTCAGCAAGAAGGCCGGTGGTGCGCTCGCGCAGCTGATGGCCGCCCATGAGAATGAGGTCACGCCTACAACCTTGAGCCACGACTTGGGCGCCGCGCATGACAAACTTGAGAGAATCGGTTTCGTGGACTTGGAGGAGGCAATCGAAGCCATGGCTGCCTTGGAACCGGAGCTGGAGCATATCCTGCTGAAAAGTTGCGCCCCTGCAGTCGTGCCCATAGAGTTGTTTTCTGTGGAAAAGAATTGTTTGCATTTTTGCATGACAAACTTGCAGGCCAGCGCCAGAGCAGCTTTATTCCAAATTTCTGCTTGATAGCGGTGCATGGTATATCTTGTGCTACGTCCTGTCTCTCAAGGGTTGATGAGGCTGAAAATCTCCTGCATAATTTTTGGCCTAGAAGATCATTCTCCTAAATTAAAAGATCGATGCGTCGTCCTTGTCCGTCGATGCGCGTCAAAAGTTTCTATTTCCATGTACAACTAGAAGAACAAGGCGAGCTTATTTCGTATTGCAGAGGAAAAATATCAGATGCCTCGTCGCCTTTCTGAGCGTAATTGCGGGGCTACACAACTTTTCGTTTTGATACAGCGATTACAGACGGAATTCCAGACGGTGGCAAATGAAGTCGACACATTGGAGCTTGTTTCGAAGGAGGCAGTAGATGAAATCAAGGAATTCCAAGAGGAGTTTCCTTCTTCGGATGGAGGAGAGACGGAAAATGTTGACACGACCACGCTGCCGGGCGCCGGCTCCTCATCCTCCACACGAGGAGATTGGAGAAGAAGAAGTCGCAGCAGGAGCAGGAGTAGAACCTCTTCTAGAAGCACTGGCAGTTCTACTAGTCGAAGAACTTCTTCTAGTGCCCCGCCGACAAGCACTAGTAGTTCTACTAGTTGGACGAGAACTTCTTCTACTGCCCCGCCGAACTGGGTGCCCCGAATCGAATACAAGACACACCAGGTGCTGTTGCCGACCAGCAGTCATGCAGATGTTCTGTTCCGCGAAGACGGCTCTTTGCGCAAAGGTAAACCGACGGACACACGAACAGGCGTCAGCACTTCGGTGAAGGACGCGTGGGCGCAACGGGATACGGTGAGTAAGCTTCTGACGGAGTTGCGCGATAAGGTTCAGGATTTTATTGCCCTCAAATGGGGGAGCGAAAAGGAGGAATTGCGCCGCATCGGCGAGAAGCTGCGCGATGCCCAGCTGCTGGTTGAGAAGGAGAGCAGGAAGGCGTCGTTGTTAGCTTCTGCTTCAGACGACGCAACGCAGTTACTTAGTTTGTAAATTATAAGAGTATCTATAGTTACTACTTCTACTATAAAAAGATGAAGCTGCCCGCCCCCGCGAACTCCGCCAGCTTTCTGAAGTAGCTCATGTAGGGATCTACACATTGTCCTCCTCTGGCGTGCGCATGATACATATATTATTTCCAACAAATAAGTACCAAATAGTGACATCGGGAGACGAGAAAAACCTCCGACACATCATTCCATATCCATCTGCCTTGAAAAGTGAACGACGAGAAGATGTTTTCTCGTGAGAAGAGACAATTATGCCAGAGAATAAGATTTCTCTAGTCCTCGTTGGGGCAAAAATACCTAGCCAAGACCATCAAGAAGCACAGGGAGATACTCGCATATTGTGCCTAGCAAAAAAAGTAGGAGTGTATGATTCAAAGGAGAACAAATAATAAAGTGTACTTACAGGAGTCAAAGTCATGAATTAGTTCGCGAAGAGGCGGAAAATCATGAATTAGTTCGTCGTCCAAAGTTGAAAAATCAAGTTTAGTTTAGACCTACAGGACAACAATCAACTTTTTTTTTTCCCCCTGGGATTTACTATAGTGAAGAGTATGTACTAGCCTCCTTACCGACCACCACATTCCGTAGCGATCTACATATAATTCCCATGCTTGTTGTGGCACCTTCGCAGCTTTTCTCAGTGATAGGTACGACGGGACCAAATTCCACGTCGAGAGTTGTAAGTACAACAGGTGTGAGATGTGTGTATGTGGTTGATGTGCGGGTCTTGGGAGCAGGCTGAAAAATTCTAGGAAAAGCAAGCAAGTCCAAGTTTGCGGCCTCGCGATCATATTTGGGGCTTCGCGATCTTGTTCTGTGTACAGCTGGAGCTACGTCGGGCTCGAGTGGCTGCTTTGTTGTCACTACATAGTTGTAAACTAACGCGAGATGAGTGGTTACTCGCTCTCCCTGAGAGGATGCGCTGAAGTACTGTCACGGCCTTTCAAGAGTGTGCCTTTCCTTTGCTCAACATCGGTTTCTTCCTATTGGGCAAAAAATAAATCGTGTTTCCATGTTGTTGCCAGCTAAATCTTCGCTCGGTTTTGTTTTAGTCGAAAAAGAACAAGTTCATTGAGAATTTGATTGTGGCGATCAGAATGTGCTGCTCAAATTGAGATTTGTTGCCAGAAAATAAAAGTCCTTTTGGCATGAGAAAATGGATCAACAACAAATAGGGTGAGCAGAAATGGTCGAAAATATTACTAGAGAGGATCCTGGTTGATGTCACGCTATCGGTCATCAGCGCAGGGATCGCTTTCGGATCTACGCACAACTGAGTGGTAATTGCCCTAGCGTCGGTAAAACTCAAATCAAGGCGATCGCAAAACCACTCGGTGATGCGCTGAGAGTTGTGAGCCGATAGTATGCTATCAACATCCACGACTACGAAGATTCATTAACGTTTGAAATATATAAAACAGTTTCGCTTATTGTACAATACTGGTATAAGGGCGCTTCTCCTTCTGTGCTGTGAATAAAGTTGCAAAGTCAACATCAGATAGAATCAATATTCTGGTGGGAAAAAAAAGCGTGATTCATCTTGTGGAAAATAAAAGAGCATCTTGTTCATCAACATCCAACTACAAGAACTGACGAGCATCATATTACGACGCGAAAAATAAAAAAACAAGAACTTGATGCAGAAAGAATAAACTTAAAGTTAAACAACAAGTAGACTTCACTTCCTCAGCACTAGCAAAGATGGCAAAAAACCTGCGTGCCCTCGTTCCGATTTTTCTTTTGGCCTGTGCGGGGGCTTTGCGTTCCGTTGCTGCCGATCCGAAAATGGAGGAGGTGCAGCTCGAGGACGCTGCAAAAGAACCGAAGTACAACAAGGTGGAGGAGGTGCAGCTCGAGGACGACGGAAAACCGCAATCGATGTTATCGGAGGGACTGCTGGATAAGAATAACATTAAGCCCGCTGAGAACGCGGATACAGTTGCCAGCATGGTAGATGCTTCGGACGTCGAGCACTTGCAGAACACTGAGCCTGTCGGGTCGTCCACTCCTGTCGTGTCTTTTCATCAAACAGGCACGTCGAAGCTTGGCCTGAAGAAGGGCACGAGCTTCCTCGAACAAGAAGATGAGAAGGGAGAGGATACTACGTCCCGCCAGCAGGTCTCGTCGTTTGAGCAAGGTGGAGTGCGGTATGTGACGTCTACGCGCGGGGGAGAAACGGTGTCGATAGTTGTCAAGGGCGTGGTCTCCACGAGTTCTACTCCGGGGCAGCAAGGGCTGCAGCTGACGAAGAGTGTCTCCTCGTCAGGGTTCTCTAATCGTAACCTGGATGAACTTGAAGGAGCAGCACAGGACCCCCCCGAAGATGATTGCAAAAAGTACGACTGCAATGCGGATTACCAATTTGTCGTTACGAAGGATGACTGCGCGGCGAAGTATGACCACGACCTGAAAAATTGCTCTTCCCGCGGCTTCTGGCCTATTATCACGTACAACAAAGGTATGACCGTGCACAACTCCCCCTGCTCCCCCTCATTTGTAATGCAAAAGCCTAAATCCATTTGCTTCCCTGTGGCACTGTATGCATGAGAGATTCCGGAAGTCCAAACAGTACTAGCACACTAGGCACATGAACTTGTCATGCACCGGCTCCACGTGTGCTCGTGTTTGTATTGCTGTTCGCGCAGTTGTACAAATGAGGGGGAGGGGGGGTTGTGCACTGTCATAAAAGGGGACTACGTGTGGTACATCACGCGCGGGGGGATGGATTTCGACACGATAGACTGGAAGGAAGCCACCCAGTGCTGCGGGCCCAGCTTCACCGGAATGCGGACAGGGTCCGCGGATGCGCAGCCTTGCCGGTGCAATTCACGTTCCAAAAAACCGGACGAGCTGCACTGTAGCGCTTTTGACCCCGGATATAGTGCAGCCGCGACTGAAGACCTTGAACCGGAGTTTAACGCTGCACGCCAGCGTTTCTACGGCGATTACCATCCGGACGGCAAATGGATTTCGAAACAGTTATGCATTGCAAATATGTCTGGGTCTGGAAACTCGTGATGCTGGGTGGCGTATCATGAGGAGGCCACAAGTGCTGGCTCAGCATGACAAGCTTTTGAGCTTCTAGGTGTTGCCAATTCTGCATGACAAGCTACGTTTTTGCATAACAGCAAAAAGGGGCTCTTGGGTAACGTGCATGACAGAGTTAAGAGTCATGCCAGACAAGCATGAGAAACATGCACTCTTCCAGACCCAGACATATTTGCATTTGATAACAGTGCCCCTGAAGAGATGGAAGAACTACTTCTACAACTCAAGGGAGAAACAATTGCTATCCAAAGTTGCTGTACCAAGTGGAAGATGAACACAAAATTATGTTGAAATAAGAAATCGCTTCAAAGTATTGGCGAAGTGGCTTCTAAGTACTACTATAGACTGCTTGTTTTTAGCTGAAGATGAGCAGCGTTCTTGGCAGTTGATGACTATGCACGTGGCCCTGCACAAAAAAAAACAGATGTGCGGTAGGTCGTGTGGTGACGGTCCACCAACTTGAAGAAGATAGAGTAGTTTGCTTTTTTATTTTTACTACATGGCGATCATCTTCAACCCCGCACCCTCTGTGCATGAGCTTCCTTTTTGTCTGGTCTCCAGCTTTAGGTTGACCATGTATCTATATCTAGTGAATTTTGTACACTTTGCTCTCTATCTCCTAACCCCTGTATGATTTTTGCCCCACCGCACTAGTTTTGATTTTTTAGAATGGCTCGGACTTGTAGTCGTGGAGAGTAGGTAGAAGTAGAGACCTAAAATCCTGGTCAGACCACTAACAGGCAGCAGCATGATGATCCGCTAGGTGATCGATGTGGACAAAAACTGCCGGCTCGCAGCCCCGATGTCGGTTCGCGGCATCGAAAGACCGTACTATGAAACTACTATACTGCACGTACTACGTGCCACGTAGCTTCTAGCAGTTGCGACACATGACACGCAATATTCATGCTGCCGTCAAAGATGAAAAGGTAATCAGTTGGCCGAGCGTTCGATGACGCCCGGTCCCGCGGGAGGCAGAGGTCCCCGTGTCGTGTCGTCCGGTGTTCATCAATTTAAGTATGATCACCTGAAAGCGTTTTTCTCTTCCAAGAATTTCCAATCCGCACGGAGCGGCCTCTCATAGCCCCTCCCTCCCTGACCCGTCCGGAGCCGTCGTTTTTTCCTCGGTTTTGGCCCAACGGCCCTCCTACCCTCGTGCTTCACTTCAACGGGTATGTTTTTTCATTTTCAGTGAAAAAATTGGGAAAGGTATCAAATGATCAGAAGCCGCTTCGGTTTCGTGAAAATTGTTTCTCTCGCGACGGCTCCGGACGGCCCCCGGACGGATGGTGTATGGCCCTCGTAGCATGCGGCTTGGAAAATTGAGAGAAAATTGCGCCTTCGTGGTCTGCGAAGGTTTTTCTCTTCCAATAATTTCCAATCCGCACGGAGCGGCCTTCCATAGATCATCCGTCCCCGAGCCGTCCGGAGCCGTCGGGTTTTTCTCGGTTTTGGCCAACCGGCACTCATACCGTCGTGCTTCACTTCAACGGGGATGTTTTCTCATTTTCAGTGAAAAAATTGGAAAAGGTATAGAATGATCAGAAGCCGCTGCGGTTTCGCTCAGACTTTCTCTTTCAGGACGGGTTCGGACGGCTTCCGGACGGACACTTTTTGCTCCTGATAGCGTGCGGGTTGGAGAGAACACGAAAAAATCTAGCTTCCTTGCTGCGAAAGGTCTTTTTGTTGCTTTTTTTCGGAACCCGCACGGTGCTGCCTTTCGAAAGCTTCCCGCTCGGGGGCCGTCCGGAGCCGTCATTTTTTTTGTACGTCGGCCTCAGAATTCACCAGGCCGTCGGGCTTCGTTACGCTTTCACGCGTTCTGGATTTCTCGCTGAAAAAATGGCCTTGGCACAAAATCAAAAGAATCCGCTCCGGATTTGTTTTAGATCTGTCCCTCGGGACGGCTCCGGACGGCTTCCGGACGGACACTTTTTGCTCATCATAGCGTGCGGGTTGGAAAGAACACGAAAAAATCTAGCTTCCTTGCTGCAAAAGGTCTTTTTGTTTCTTTTTTTCGGAACCCGCACGGCGCTGCCCTTCAAAAGCTTTCCGCGCGGGGGCCGTCCGGAGCCGTCTTTTTTTTTGTACGTCGGCCTCAGGATTCACCAGGCCGCCGGGTTTCGTTACGCTTTCACGCGTTCTGGATTTCTCGCTTAAAAAATGGCCTTGGCACAAAATCAAAAGAATCCGTTCCGGATTTGTTTTAGATCTGTCCCTCGGGACGGCTCCGGACGGCCCCCGGACGGACACTTTTTGCTCCTCATAGCGTGCGGGTTGAAGAGAACACGAAAAAAGCTAGCTTCCTTGCTGCGAAAGGTCTTTTTGTTTCTTTTTTTCGGGGCCCGCACGGTGCTGCCCTTCAAAAGCTTTCCGCGCGGGGGCCGTCCGGAGCCGTCATTTTTTTTGTACGTCGGCCTCAGAATTCACCAGGCCGTCGGGTTTTCTTGCGCTTTCGCGCATTCTGTATTTCTCGCCGAAAAAATTGCGTCGGCGCAAAATCAAAAGAATCCGCTCCGGATTTGTTTTAGATCTGTCCCTCGGGACGGCTCCGGACGGCTTCCGGACGGACACTTTTTGCTCATCATAGCGCTCGGGTTGGAAAGAACACGAAAAAATCTAGCTTCCTTGCTGCGAAAGGTCTTTTTGTTTCTTTTTTTTCGGAACCCGCACGGTGCTGCCCTTCAAAAACTTTCCGCGCGGGGGCCGTCCGGAGCCGTCATTTTTTTTGTACGTCGGCCTCAGAATTCACCAGGCCGTCGGGTTTCGTTACGCTTTCACGCGTTCTGGATTTCTCGCTGAAAAAATGGCCTTGGCACAAAATCAAAAGAATCTGCTCCGGATTTGTTTTAGATCTGTCCCTCGGGACGGCTCCGGACGGCTTCCGGACGGACACTTTTTGCTCATCATAGCGTGCGGCTTGGGAAGAACGCGAAAAAATCTAGCTTCCTTGCTGCGAAAGATCTTTTTGCGTCTTTTTGCCGGAACCCGCACGGTGTTGCCCTTCAAAAGCTTTCCGCTCGGGGGCCGTCCGGAGCCGTCATTTTTTTTGTGTGTTGGCCTCAGACTTCGCCAGGCCGTCGGGTTTCGCCACGCTTTCACGCATTCTGGATTTCTCGCTGAAAAAATTGCCTCGGCGCAAAATCAGAAGAATCCGATCCGGATTTGTTTTAGATCTGTCCCTCGGGACGGCTCCTGACGGCTCCCGGACGGACACTTTTTGCTCCTGATAGTTAGCGTGCGGGCTGGAAAGAACACGAAAAAATCTGGCTTCCTTGCTGCGAAAGATCTTTTTGTTTGTTTTTTCGGAACCCGCATGGTGGTACCACTCAAACGCTTTCCGCTCGGGGCCGTCTGGAGCCGTCGTTTCTTTTCTCTCGGCTTTGTGCAAAGACTGTGTGGCGCGCGGGCGGCCTCACGGAGGGCTCGCCCGACACCACTGTGCACCCGCGGCTCCTTTCTGATGTTTCTTCTAGCGTAGTCATGTACTTCGTGCAGACGAAAGTGAAGTCTGATTTTCGGTCGTCTCTGAAAAGCGGTAGCTCGAAACCAGCACTGTCGGTTGCGCGATGAGTCGGTTTTGTTTGTTGCGCAAATTATACAAGAACACGACGCAGTCGCAGGCAGGCCCCTCGGTCATTTTTCAATGTTCAGTTTCAACAGAAAGACTACAGCCTAATGTTGATGAGGCTGTAAATGTTATTCATAATATTGTTCTCCAACCTCCACGCAGGAAGGGGTACATACGCGTACGACCGAGCAGCACATCTTTTATTTTGATTTACTCGTTGGGCGCGGCGAGTAATTGTAATTCAAATTCTTGGCAACAAATAAATCTCAGCACCGTCATCGACCACAGGATGCTTCATTACCCCTTGCCAACACGTCGACACCTCTTTTGAATCCGCACATTGTTACCACTGATTTTATTCTCCGCATGGTGCGCATCGCTTCCAAAGCGTGAGTCGAAATAATCTCAGCACAGCCCTTACCCTTTTGTTTCTTGAAACTACTAACTCTAACTAGTGACAGCTCTCGTGTCCTCTAGAAGTGGCACTCTTGAGAAAAGGATTTACAGCGACGGATATCTACCCGGACCATATTAAACATGTTTGGCGGCTGTTGCGGTCTCTGTGAGGACAAGGAGTCCGACGAGAGCAAGAAGAATGCCATGCAAGTTTACAAAGACTCCGCCACGAAAGGAAACGAAGGCTACCCTGAAGCGATGGAAAGGCCCGTTTACATTCCCGCAGACAAGCACGAGCAGACCATCGTTGCCAATTCCAAAACGCTATCCTGTGCAAAAGCATCGTACTCGTAGTAACTGCAGTTATGCAATACAAATCTTTTTCCTAAGGTCAATTAGCATGACAAATTTCATTTCTTATGCTGAGGAAATTTGTATTGCATTTATACGAGTACGATACTTTTGCAATGCATAGACGCGAATGGTGCACGAGCTAAAGACGAATCCGCCAGAGCTGAAATCGACGCCGCCAGGCTCTTATCAAATGCAAATGTGTCTGGGTCTGCAAGGTTGCAACTTGTGATGCTGCATTTGGATACTACAAAAATCTGTATTGCATTTCCAGCAAAAGAGGTCCAGTTTTTGCAACGGCGAGAGGGCATTTCTCATGCGGAATAAGCATCAGGAAGCCCTCACAAAATCTGTGATGCTAGGGTATGCATCACATACGTCAGGAGTCATGCAAAGTGTGCATGACAAACACAAACCTTGCATCCTTCCAGACCCAGACATTTTTGCATGTGATAACTCTCCGAAGGGCGCCGTCGCGGGCACTACAACTAGTAACCCTGGAGGCGGTGGACCTACTAGTTCGTTAAGCGACAATGTTTCCACTACTACGGCAGATACAACTTCTGCTTTGGAGAAGGCGAGCGCAGTCGCCGCCTCGGAAGGAGGGGACCAAAACGCTGCTACTTCGCCTTCCAGTTTATGCATTGTTGCAAATGTGTAGTCTGGTTCGGGAAAGTCGTGACGGTTACTTATGCGCGGATGATAAGCTAAGCAACCTCGTTCTCCACGACTACCACGGGCGCTTGCGTAACAAGTGAGCATCATCTCGGTGACCCTACGTTTAGCGTGTGGAAAAACGGCATGACAAAAAATCGCACGAGTTTCACATGGGTGGAGACACCAATTTTTTGCGCTCCACTAGCTCAACACGCATGACAGACTTTTCTCTCTTCCCAGCCAAGCATGACAAGTTCCGCGATGTTCCAGACCCAGACATGTTTGCAATGCACACAAGGGCGCCAGCCTCGATGACCTTGCGAAAGCGGCCCGGGGGAGCCAGAAAGCAAACGCCGCGGCTGCGAAGTTCATGGCCCGCGCGAGTGGAGGGAAGAAAAAGAAGGGGAAGGCGTGAAGACACCGATTGATCATTACTATCTATTATATTCATGCGAAAATACTGGTTTAGAGAGGGTAGACGAGAGGTGACAGGGAGGTCAAAAAGAGGTCAAAAGAGGTAAAAAAGAGGTCGACAGTGGTGGAGAGGTGGCGCGGGAGGTCATTCGGGAGGGTGGCCGAGAGGTGGCGCGAGTATAGCCCGCCGAAGGGGTCGCCCTTTGGGGCCGCTAAGGGCCTCGGAGGGTGAAGAGAGGTAGAAAAGAGGGCACGCGAGAGGTGGACAGAGGTGCCGAGAGGTTGCGCGAATAAGGGGAGACCTTTCGCGGACCCCCTTGGCCACCTCTCGGCCACCTCTGTCGACCTCTACCCGCGAGTATAGCCGGATTATTAGTGGGGACCCCCAAAAGAGGTCAAGAAGAGGGTCTGCGAGAGGTCTGCGAGAGGGTAAAAACAGAAAGAAATGGGCGCGAATCCGCATGGTGCTGCCCATATTGCGCACTGCAGGCCATTTGCGGACTTGTTTGGCTCGGTCTCTTTCCGTGCCACCCTCTCGCGCTACCCTCTCGCGCCACCCTCTTGCGCCACCCTCTCGCGCAACCCTCTCGCGCTACCCTCCCGCGCCACCCTCTCGCTCTACCCTCTTGCGACGAGCGGCTTGCTTCTGTTCGCCCCCGTTGCTCTTTGCAGCTGCTCCTTGCGCAGAGCGCCCACAGGCGCGGGAAGCGCGCAAGCGGTCCTGCGGGTTGGCGCAACGCAAACAGGCGGCAGGCCTCCCGTATGTTTCGCTATGCGCAGGCCCTCGGTGTTGTGGTCCAATCGGCAAACAGTATTGCCCCGGCCCAACAGCCTTGCGCTCCGGCGGCAGCCGGAGCATGGCTGGTATTTATTACGGGTATATTATTCGTTCAGGACGAAACGAACAAGTTGGTTGCCTAAGCTATTTCAGTTTACCGACGACAAATATTCCAGATCCCTTCCTTCCACTTGATATCGTAGTAAGCTATCGACTTTTCGTCAGTCACACTCACGGGAGTTCTCCCGGTTATTTTCGTCAGTCACACTCTACTGCTTGAAGTGAATGTTGTGATTTCCAGTATATGTTCGATATCAGATGCGCCACTACCTGTAACCAAATTGATGTATGTATTTGTGAGGATGTGGTATCGTGATTTTCGCATTTTCTGCTACGTTGTGAAATAATCATATTGTACTTTGCAAAAGTTTTTGCGATGACTTCTTACACTCGACGTACTTCCCAGATGAAAAGTAGTATTGCGTTACTTTCACACACACATTCACTTCTTGAGAATTCCTACCCTCGCATGAGTTTATTCGATCATTGAATTTTGCTGCAAGGGACTTTCTCCCTGCATGAGCATGACCTGGAAGATGGTACTGTCCCCACCACTAACTTTTATTGCAGAGGATCATCTTCTAGATGCGCAGCTGAATTCGGGTCTTGGTCAACACATTGTGTCTGGCCACTTGTATATGTTCGTCTTTCAACATCATGTTGTTGGATCAAACTTGTCGGGTGCAAAAGAGCACGACGGACGAGCATGCATTTCACCAGAACTTGAACGGCCGTGCTCAGCGGTAAAGAGCGGCCCAGCAAAAATATGACTAGCCGAATGTTGTGACCCAGCGCAAGGCCAGATCCGGCGCTGGAAGATCAATTCTAGACCATTCCTGATCACTGATCAGGAACCAATGTTGAACTGGATCCTCTTGGATGTATGAACGGTCTGGAGTTTTTCATCAGATCGCTACATCACCATCAGGCATAATTTTTGAAGGCGTGTGGCTTCGTCAAAATCCACATTGACCTTCTATTTCCTCGCTTTTACTTTATTTTCCAAAGGCTTTACCACGGTCTTTTTTAGCGTCTAATTTTGCGTATCTATCAAAAAGTTGAATTGTTATTTGTACATTGGATTCTGTATATTAGGTGCGTCGCGCATTTTATCATTTTCATTTTTTCCCATTTCGATTTCCGTACCTACACCTAGCGTTTTGTCACAAAATGGTCTCCCCACCAAACCGTGCTAGTGCAACTACGGGAGAAGCCCCTGTGGTCTCGTATGACGGCATTACAACCAACGCCCACGAGACGTATACCAAGCAGCTGGCCGCGCTGCAAAAGATCCGCGGGATCGCGGGCGGAGATTTGCGTCTGCCGCAGATCTGCGTTGTCGGAGACCAAAGCTCCGGGAAGAGTTCGGTGTTGTCCCTGATCACGGGGTATCAAATGCAAAAATGTCTGGGTCTGGAAGATTTGAAATTTGTGATGCTGTCTCTGGATTCAAAAAAAAAACTGTATTGCGTGACCAGCAAGAGGACTCCAGTTTGGGCTACGAGGAGAGGGCATTTGTCATGCAAAATAGGCATCAAGAAGCCCTCAAAAAATCTGTGATGCTAGGGCATGCATCACGGACATCATGGCTCGTGTAAAACTTGCATGACAAGTCTCAGAATCTTCCAGACCCAGACACTTTTGCATTTGATACGGGGGTCACCTTTCCAACCGCGGCCGGTATTTGCACGAAGGCGCCGATTGTGGTCGAGTGTTGCAAAAAGGACCCCACGGGGGATGGCGCGCGCGTGTTCGAAATCAAAACCGCTAACAAGGACTACGTGAAATGTGACATCGCGGAGCTGGCGGAAAAAATTCTGGAAAAACAACAAACCGCACTGGTACACGATTTTTTAATTTTGTGACTTACTACCGATCCTGGCGTTTTTGTACTTAAGTTCGGTCGCGGCTGACGGACGTTTAAGACCCTGTATAGCCTCTCTTGTTTTTACACCCTTGTCTCCCTATTCGATCCTCCCCTAAATCCCCAACAGGACGCGCTGAAGCAAAAGGTTTGCACGGACGAGATTTTTGTGCGCGTTTCCGGCCCGGACGTGTTGGACCTCATCGTGATCGACCTGCCGGGAATCATCAACCAAGGGGAGGGCGCGAGCGAGGTGCGCAACATGATCAATAAGTACATCAAGGAGCCGCAGACTTTAATCTTACTGGTGTCCGAGGCGAAACAAGATGCGGAGCTGGCGTCGGCTATTGGGATCGCGAAAGAGCACGATCCGAAAGGCGTGCGCACCATGCGGGTGCTGACCAAGTTTGACACTTTCGATTCCGAAGAGACGAAGGTGCGAGCGGTGGAGCTGGTGCGGGAAGGTTTGCAATCCTTCGGGAGAAGTGATAGTGACGAAGACTCAGAATCTGAATCAGATGAGAATGGGGAGGAGGATGATGATGATGATAATGATGAAGTTGAAGAGGATACTTCCGATGGAGATTTTGAAGATGAACAGTCTGATATGCTTACCAGCACCCTGCTCGGCCCACACGCCGTGATTTGCGCGCCCGGGGGAAAAACGTATGACCGAGACCAGGAGCGCACCGAGCTCCTGAGCGACCTTGGTCTCCCAGAGGCGCGAGCGGGTATTGACGCATTGAAGGAGCGCCTGCCGCCTATCTACGCACAGTTGATTCGCAAGAACGTCCCTGGAGTGATGCAGCAGGTGGAAGAGAAACTTCTCAAGGCACGCAAGGACCTCGCTCGCGTTGGGGAGCAGCCGGCGTCGGTCGACGCGGTGGTCCGCGAGGCCCAGAAGGTATTGGCCGGCGCGCAATGCGATGTCGAAGAGCGAATTACCGAGGAGCTGGAGCGGTTCGTGCAAGGGATTACGGAAACGGAGGAGAACATCACGAAACAGTGGACCGATTCTAAGTACAAGAAGAACGCCTTTCACCCACCGCAGTTTCAGGGGGAGGAGGCCGTCAAAAAATGCATGCGCGAAATCGTCGATATATGGTGGGCGCCCTTGTTGGGTAAGTTTCGCGGGACGCTCGAGAAGTACTGCGTGAAATCCGCCCTGAACCTCGACAAGTGCCTGGCAACATCGGAAATTTAGTGCAGCGCTACGTTTCCCCAGCCTTTGGTTCGCCGCGTCAGTGACCTCTGGCAGCAGCATTGCGAGAAGGAGACGTTCCCTTCCGTACAGGCGAAATTCGCGGAGCGTCTACAGCGGGAGGTCGACTTTGGCACTGTGAATCACTACTTCGGGGACAGTGTTTACGAACAGACCATCTGCCCAGATGATTTTATTCAGGAGGCTGTTGCTGTTCTGGTGAAGGAACAAGCTCGTTTTTTGGACCGTAGGCTCCCCGACGGGGAGATCAGAGAAAGCTTGGCTAAAGCACGAGAGATTGCGGTGAAGCGCTACAAGGCCATGGATCTGCACGAGCGTCAGAAAGTGGAAGTCGAAAAGGTGGTCAAGGCCTTGTTCAAAACCGAATGCAAAACCTTCACCGACAATATCATGAAGGAGGTGGTCAACGAGGTGCTGAAAAAGCGCGCGCAGTGGATCAAAGACAACATCGTGACGCAAAACGCGGATCTCTGCAAGTGCGCGGAGGAGGACACGCACAGGGCGGAACAACGCGCGGACGCGATGCGCAGAATTGAGAAAATGTTAGAATGTAAAGCGGAGTTGCTGGCTATTATGTAATGAAAAGGCGCCTATTCGCAGTACCGCCTGAGCATGATCATGAAGGACATAATAAATTATTTCCTTTTCTCATTTATATTTGTTTTCCAGTACCCATAGATAAAGATAAACCGAAGCTATTTTTCGAACTTGTGAAGATCTACTTGCGTGGGACGGCCAACTCTCACAGGTAGAAGATAGTGTGGAAGAATCCGGTTTGGGTTTCCAACACTTTTGCAAAGCATATGTGAGAGGCTACGTCATATTTCCGAAGAAATGCGTCAGACTGATATACCAGTTTCCATACAGCCTCTAGTCCAATTATAAAGCTTAGGTGATTTTTCCACACCTCATCTTGATTTTTTTGCCATGTGGCGATGGACTACGATAGTACTTTTCAGGTCGGAACTGTTGCCATTGTAGTTGTACGTGTACGCAATAAGAAGCTGTTTGTGTTTTCTAGCGCTTTGTCGCTACTCATTCTTTTTTATTTTTCGAAGACACGGTCCTCTTGGACTTCCCATTCTCACTATGATACAGAGAAATCGCACGGACCAAATCATTGATTTCTAGCATGAGCAGATTAAGAAAATAAAAAAGTCCGTCACATATGATTACAGCACCATATCATTTCCCAACAAGCATGCGTTTTTCAGAAAAATCATTCCCAAAAACCAGTGCGTCACACATCAGGCGGAATTTTTTAGATTCAATCCAGAAAGCAAAAAGGCAAACTCAAGAAACGCAAGCACTAGGTGTCCAGGTAGCAAATTAACTCACCTGGAGCACCATGCCAACGGGTACTTACTCGCATTTCGGGAAAACATTGACCAAGTTACCCCTCGTGGAGGTATCGTGCCGTTGCATTCATCGCACGGAAAAACAAAATCGGTCGAGCTCATGAATTTAAGGTGCGACCAGTACTCATAGTCATACCCATGGAAAAGAGACGCGTCGATGCTCCGTTTTTGATTTACTTTTCGGTTCTTGGCATAGATATCGGTCATTATGTAGTGTGTACCGAGATGAACTTACCGCCCGCGGTCTACCAAAAACGTCGTACTCGTACTGTATGGGACACGACAGTACTAATCAAATCAGTACACTATATGTCATTTTGATATAAATGCTCTTCCAACACTGTCGTTCGCAGAACCTCCCTCATGGAACCAGATCTATATTCATCTCGTATTCAGATGAAATCTTCTATTCTTGCATAAATGTTGGAATTCCGCTCTTTTTGCAGAACTTCACACAGCTGTAATTATAAAGACCACATTTTAGACATGCCATTCTCGCCTACGACGGAGTATCGAAGATTTTTCTTCACTTCTAGTCGCGAGTAATTATTATCATGCTAGACGTGGTGTTGCTATGTCTTCACTGGCACTCGTAAAGAAAGCCTCGCCTCCGAGGGTAAGCCTTGGGGTCATGATGATATCTTGTTTGGTGTTTGCAGAAGTGGTTCAACATCTGCCACTGCTTCTCGCTGTGACGTAGCTGTAGCTTTTCCCCTGTCTGTTTGGAAGTCAGTTTAATTCTAGTACCCGCGGCCCACCATCATGTCCCTCGCCTACTTCTCCTTCGCCGGGCTCGGTTGGTGCGGTCTGTGCAAGATATGCATTGGAAAAGTATCGCTATCGTATTCGTGGTCCTGCAATACAAATTAGCTCAGCATGCCAAATGGAATTCGTCATGCTGAGTTAAGAGCTTGAAAAAGACAAGGAATTTGTCTTGCATGACTGCAATTGCTACGAGTGCGATATTACTTTTGCACAGGATACAAGGAGGAAAAAGACAATTCTCCGCTCCACCCGCTGCACGTGTACCGAAACTCCTTCTTAGAGGCGATGGAAGAGGAATACTACTACGATGTCCGAATCGCAGACGACTACTACAACCTCGCGGTTTACAATTGGAACGAAAACGAGCAGAAGGCGCACGCGGCGAGAAAAATCCGGGTGTTGGCGGAGCTGCGGGAGAAGGAAAGAGTACTAAATGTCTTCGCAAGAGCAGGCCGTGCAGAGGAGTACTTTGAGAGCAGGACGTCGGAGGGAAAGATAGCGGATCAGCAGGAGATGAAAGGCACAGCAACACCTGGTGCGTCGAGGTCGCACGACAAGAAGATGATAAACGCGATCGAGAGCTTGGAAAGGCAACTCGAGGGAAGACAAAAGCTACTGCGGGAACATGGGTATAGGTCGCAGCAAGGAGTGCTCGTGATGGATCTGACGGGAGGTGGTGGTGGTGGAGCTGTTTCCAGCAGCTATGGGGCGAACAATAGAGCAACATCTTCCACCGTTGTTGTACCGAAAAAAATGTCACTCGTGACGCCCCGGGTCGCTGTGGGCCAGCAGTCGGGCAAGAGCGCGGGAGGAGGTACTGCGGATCCACCTTTAACAGTTTCTCGTGCGCCCCCCTCGCCAGCAGCTCCAGGTCATCAAGATCTTGACGGTACTAGCAGTGGAACAACACCAGAGGCGGCTGCAAAAGTAGGAACCACTGCTCCTATAGTAGAACGAGTCATTATCGCAACGCCCCCGCCCACGACGGAAAGCATAACTCAGACGCCAGAAGAACAGAAGCAAAACACACAGATGAAGGAAAGAGACGCTGAAAAGTCCGAGTTCTTTTTTAGGAACGACAATGACACGGAGGTCGGTGGCGCTGTGGGAATAAAATCACTATCACCTGCTCTACCAAGCGCAAGCGGGCATAATCTTCATAATTTTTCCACTGATGGAAGTACAAGGACGAGCGCATTTTCACCAGGGAAGGTTCTACCCGAGGGAATTGACCCCGCGGCGTCGAAAAATATACCTCCCGATCCTGTAGTACCCCCGGGAGGCAGCGGCACGACCAAAAGTAAGAGGGGCATAAGAAAGAAACAGTGAGTTAAAGCTAAATAAGAGCCTTGCATGAAGAGGCGCGGTTGAATACATGCGCCACTGTTGTAAAAAGTATCTACTTCTGCACTTCATCAGTACTGCATCAATCTTCGCAGGGCCTAATGCATTCTGCCCCCGTTTGTACATTATGTATCAGTGAATTCTGATTTAGATTTTACCGCTAGCACTACCCCATGGCCGGCGCACCGATCGGCATGCAAGAGAGCTACTTACACGAGGCATTCTTTACTGCAAGCAGCTCTTAGAAAGAGAGGCGTAAAAAGCTATTACCCGCACTCTTTGTCCTACGATAAAAAGAGAACGCGCGAAGAACAGCACAGGAGTCCGTTATTTGGATTCTGTATACGTACAAAAGCTAACTCACAGAAAGACACGGCCGTTCACGCCGTACCAGCATCGCTGCAACCATGATTTTCCTCTTACTTTCCGGCAGAGTTCTCGCTGTTCAGCTTTTCGACATCCTCTTCGAATTATTTCGCGAGAGAACAGCACAGACTGTGTCTGTGACGTTTCAAAGTTGCCTACTTCCTGCGGTTTCGTCGCACAAATTTCGTTCGTTGGTTTTCGAGAGAACAAAATCAAAATTAATTAAAATACGCAAAAAAAGTCACAAGAAATTATGGTGCGTAGATTTTATTTTTTCGTTTACGTTATTTGTGCTCGATGTCTAGGTCTACTCCTGGTGTCGTCGTTTTGTTCTTGATTGTGATTGTTCTGTGAACAATTAACTTTCGACCTCGGTCGATGAAGAAGGAGGTTCGCCGCCCCACTCAAAAGTTTTACATTTCCTTTTTAGGCAAACGTTATATCTCGTACTCGTACCGCTCCTCACCAGATCGATTTCGATCGGAAGTTGTGCACTAGGAGCAGCTCTCGACTGCAGCACGAGGGCTTTTTGCAAAGCAAGCTGCTCGGAGCAGAACCGAGAACAGTACTTATTATAACAGTTCGTGTTGATGTCTTTCTTCGCCAATATGCCAAAAGACCACCTCCACCATGAATCACAACTATTTCTCTAGCCGGTAGTTGCAAGGTATAATTTGTGAAAGCTGGCCACTTGTTAGCGTTAGCTGCTCGACGAACGCACCATGACGAGGGCTAGGTGTCCGAGCCGCTTTGACCTCGGCTTCTTATCTTCGACGAATCAGAAGATGAAACGGTGAAGTTTTATTTGGATATGATCTTCACGAAAAGTGGTGCAGCGACAGAATAAGATGAACCAGGCCAAGTCTTGGTAATAGACATCAAAAGCCGAAGGAACAAGAAGACTAGGTGGCCACTATGCCTGAACAGGCACTCTCTCCCGCGCACGCGCGGGGTGCCGCCGTGCAGCAGCAGCAGCAGGTGGAACGAACACCGAACGGCTCATCTACAACTTCATCTGCCGCATTCAACACCCCCTTCGCGCCAACCGAAAGGTCTGCACCACAACCCGCGGTCGGCACGAATCCCGCGGTTGTTGTCCTGCATGGGCCAAGTCCTAGGCAGCAAGCCGGGGGCGGTAATATTTCCACCAGAACTACGACCCAGCACGTTTCCCCCGTCCTGATTACGGGAAGCAGCGCTGCTTCTAGTTCGACGTCTAGGATTCCGAACCCGATGAGTACTATGAAAACGCAGAATCAACAGACGACGAGGCACCGCCACGATCCGCAGATTTTGTTGAACAATTCCAACTCTTCCTTCAGTGACTCCCGCACGCATGTCCACGTGTACAACAACGACCCAGGTATGCACTGCAAAAGTATCGTACTCGTACTAATCGCATTTATGCATCACAAATTTTTTTGTCAAGTTAAATCAGCATCACAAGTTTCATTTCTCATGCTAAGGAAATCTGTCATGCGATTTTTACTAGTACGATACTTTTGCACAGCATACCCGGCAAGAACAACCAACACTTTCAGGACAAAAAATCTCGTGATCAACATTTGTTCCAACGAGCAGATAATGATCTGATGATCAACAGTTTCGAATCCAACCATTCGAATTCTCAGCATTCCCGTCCGGAGTTGCTAAACCTCAGCTGCATCAGCACGGGGTCGCAGCCGGCGAATGCAGGACAAGGCATAAACGCGGATAGTACTGTTAGTCATTTGAACACCTCGCAGCAGAACTTGCTGAACCTGTCGCAGCAGCAGAATCTGAATAATTCGCAGAACCAAATCCCGTTGAAGCATATCCACAGTGCAAATATGTCTGCGTCTGGACAAGTGCAACCTGTATTGCGTGTCCTGGATTTCTGTAAAATCTGTATTGCATGACCGAGATCAAAGAGAAGAACGAGCGCTGGCTTGTCAAGCAAAAGCACAGTTTGCCATGCGCACTACGCATCCGGAAAAATGCGTCCTCAGAATTTGTCATGGTAGTCTGCATTCAGGTCTATGTTCACAAATCGCCGCCTAGCATCACAAGGTTCCAGACCTGGAGATATTTGCAATTGATAAAGCACGGGGTCGTGCGGAACTGGAATTCGTCCACCATCGTCTGCTATCCTGTGCAAAAGCAGCGTACTCGTAGTAATTGCAGTTTATGCAATACAAATCTTTTTCCTAAGGTCAATTAGCATGACAAATTCCATTTCTCATGCTGGGGGATTTGTATTGCATTTATACGAGTGCGATGCTTTTGCACTTCATATCTGCACGTGCGGCGCCGCGGCCTGCTACGAAAGGGAAAGAGTCCATCTGTATCAGCTGCGGAAGGATCTGAAGGCGCAGACGGAGTTTCATCAGCGGAGGCTGGAGCATATGCAACGCAAAAGTATCGTACTAGTATAAACCAGCCATGCCCCGGCTGACGCCGGGGCGCAAGGCTGTTGGGGCGGGGCAGGACTATTTGCGAATCGGGCCACAATGCCACGGGCCCAATATAATGCACGACGAAGCACACTGGGTGCCGGGTCCGGCCGCCTGTTTGCGCCGCGCCAACCCGCAGGACCGCTTGCGCGCTTCCCGCGCCTGCGGGCGCTCTGCGCAGGGGGCAGCTGCAAAGAACACCGGGGGCGAACAGAAGCCGCCCGACGCGAGAGATTGGCGCGAGAGGGTGCGCGAGACGGTGGCGCGAGAGGGTTCGGGCCTATGCTTGAAAAGGCCGCAAAAAAACAGCCCTGCCTCGGGCGGATTCGGGTTTTTTTACCCCTCTCGCAGACCCTCTTTTTCACCTCTTCCGAGAGGTGTTGCTAATAATCCGGCTATACTCGCGGTTAGAGGTCGACAGAGGTGGTCGAGAGGTGGCCCAGAGGGTGCGCGAGAGGTCTCCCCTTATTCGCGCAACCTCTCGGCACCTCTGTCCCCCTCTCGCTTGCCCTCTTTTTTTCCTCTCGGCACCCTCCGAGGCGCTTAGCGGCCCTAAAGGGCGAGCGGTTCGGCGGGCTATACCCGCGCCACCTCTCGCGCACCCTCTCGAACTGCCTCCCGCGCCACCTCTCCACCTCTGTCGACCTCTTTTTGACCTCTTTTGACCTCTGTTTTACCTCCCGGCCACCTCTCGTCTACCCTCTACAAACCCATATTTTCGCATGAATATAATAGATAGTAATCGCATGACAAATTTGCTTAGCATGAGAAAGAAAATTTGTAATGCTGATTCGCCTTAAGAGAGAGATTTGTAATGCATGATTGCAATTACTACGAGTGCGGTACTTTTGCACAGGATAGAGCAACTCGCCGCGAAGGAAAATGAATACGCAGGCTTGGAAAAGGACCGAATGAACGTTCGGCAAGCGGTATGCAAGAAAAAAACTGTGTAAGTGTGAATTTGTGATGCAGAAAATGCAAAACAGTCACACTTGTCATGCTCGACGTGCATGATCGGCTGGCTTCCCATGTGTTTTCCGTTTCTATCTGCGCATAACAAGCTTTTCCTGTCATGGCAGACAAACTTGTGATGCTGTTTTTCCAAAAGACTTACACTAACACAGTTTTTTTCTTGGATAAGCGGAGGCGAAGCTGCAGGAGGAAAAGTCGAAATGGGAGCACGTCGTGAACAATTTGGAATCCGAAAAGGAAAAACTATATGGATTGCAAAAATGTCTGGGTCTGGAAAGTTGGAACTTGTGATGGTAACTTTGGACTCTAAAAAAATCTGTATTGGATGATCTTCAGCAAGAGGAGTCTAGTTTGTGCTACGCGGGGAGGGCATTTGTCATGCGGAATAGGCTTCGGGAATCCCTCTAAAAATCTGTGATGCTAGGCCATGCATTGCAGACATCCTGGGTCATGCAAAATATGCATGACAAACCCGGCAACATTCCAGACCCAGACACTTTTGCATTTGATAAACTACACAAGCGCCGCATTGCGGTGGAAAACGATTTCGACCAGATGAAGAAAGAAAAACAGATGTTTATCATTTGTAAAAACGTTCCCACGACCCCAGAGTAGTCAAGATGGGGAATTTTGCAACACAAACCTTGAACTTTTGGGCGCTACGCATGACAAGTTGCAGGCTGAAATGTAAAAATGCAGTTTAGTAAGGGAAGCCGCAACATAACAAATCCATCTCCTTATCCTGTTTAGAGCATTACAAGTTCCAAAACGCAATGGGAAATGCCACTCATGGGGATCATGCGCATTACAAATGCTCTTGTGCTTGCAGATCTGCATGACAACTTTGGGGTGGGGATGCTTTTACACAGGATAGTGCTCGAGGACAAGCGGCTGGACATCGTGAAGAAGTTGGACATATCTACTGCAAAAGTTGTGTCGCGCTCGTACTAAGTGCAGAGTCTTGCAGGGCAAAGCAAGTTTCTAATACCTTACCAGCATTACAAATTCGAATTCCAACTATATTATTCTCGTTGAGAAAGTTTGTCATGCAAATGCAATTTATGCTCATGCTGGCCCTGGTGCGATGCTCCTTTTGCAATGCATAGAGCAAAATGCACGAGGAAAAGCAACGTAACGAGAAGGAATTGCAGGTTGAGTGGGACGAGCTGAACAACGTGAAACAAGTATCCTGAGTAAAAATCGGTCCGCACACCAGAGTTGTCATGCAAATGTGCAATGACAGGAATCGATTTGTAATGCGCAGCTTCATGACAGGAATTTCTAAAAATCGTGTTTCGGAATTTGTAATGCTGTAACCAGGATGTGAAAGTGGCTTTCTGATGCGGCTTCTGATGCCAATCAGCACTACACTGCAGAGGGAAGCTTGTGATGCGCAGCTGCCAAAACTTGGAGACTTGTGTTCCTAGATTCCCAACTTGAAGACTATGGGGTGGGGACGTTTTTGCTTAGGATAAGAAGAACTGCTTTCGAAGAAATCCGAGCTGGAGCAGATCGACGACCAACACGAACATATCCTGTGCAAAAGTATCGTACTCGTAGTAATCGCATTCATGCATTACAAATCTTGCTCTTAAGGTAAATCCGCATTACAAATTTTATCTCTCATGCTGAGGAAATTT